AACATGGTTAGATCTATGATCAGTTATGCCACATTATCTCTTTCATTTAAGAGTTTAGCATTAATGATATTGATGCGTATTATGAACTGCATTCCATCTTAGTCTGTCTCAAGGATACCGTTGAGCTGTGTTTTTGACTAAATCTTAGTTTGAATCACATGCGCATATGGGGTAGTCTTGCACATGTGCGCTTGATATGGACAAGTAAGTTGGAAACAGATCATACGCATGATAGATTTGATAGCTACTCTAAAAGTCACTAGGATGGATTATTTTATGATCTCAATGATAAAAGTTGATTGTTTACACTCACTGTTTATCCATAGGAGGATCATATTACGAATTACATACCTAGTAGCATAATGTTAGAGAATATGGTATGAGTACCAGATGTACCACATGTGAACACACTTATTATAGAGATTGAGAATAATATATGAATTCCCTATTAATGCGTTAGCATCATCGATTTCTGCATCGGTACATTGATGTAGTGGGAGGATTATCATCTAATTCGACAGAATCATGTTTTTAGGTGAGACCATTATGGACATCCCTGTTAAACATGAGTTGGACCCAGTAAGCTACACGGAAGCGTGAACCGATGTGGATACAGATCGTTTTGGTGAGTTACTATGAAATCAGAATTGGAATCTATGTATTCTAATAAATACTGGGATCTTGTAGAACTTTCTAGTAGGGTGATTCCTATGGAAGGCAAGTTAATCTACAAAAAGATACCAGAAGATTTCTTAGTGAATAAATCATGAGTGTACAAGGGAATGTCATTATTTTTCTAATTTTATATATATTGATGACATCCTACTCATTTAGAATGATGTGGAAGTTTTGTCATCAATAAAGAGGTAGTTGTTCAATTACTTTTAAATGAAGGATTTTCAGGATGTAAGCTAGATTCCTAGGATCAAGCTTTTGCAAGATCAGGTTAAAAGGAAATTAGGCTTATCTTAATAATCCTACATTGATAAAGTTTTGACCAGGTTTGGTATGCATAACTCAAAGAATGAGTTCTTGCTTTATTGATATGGATGGCTCTCTCTAGTAAGTAGTTTTTCAAGACTATCAAAGGAGATTGAGCAAATGAGACTGGAACAATATGTTTCGGTATATGAGAGTCTCATGTATGCCATGGTCTATACCAAACAGGACATCTGCTACATAGTAGGGATAGTCAGTAGAGATCAGTCCAATACTGGACTTGATAACTGGTCTGTTGTGAAAAATATCATTAAGTACCTAAGAAGGACCAAGGATATCATACTCATTTATGGATGTGATGCTATGGCCCTAGTCAGGTATGCTAGTTCTGATTTTTAATCAAAAGTAGATACTATGAGGTTCATGACTTAGTGTATGTTCACTTAATGGAAGGGAGATCAGTTGGTAGATTGTTAAGCAGATTTTAACTGCTGACTCAAACCTGTAGGTGGAATATATTGTAGCCTTAAAGGCGGCAAAGGAAGCCTATTAGTTTGATCTCACTGATTTAGAGGTTGTGGAGTATACTAGCCTGCCTATTGAGTTATGTTGTGACAATAGTGCAGAAGTAGTCCAAACCAATGACCCAAGGTTCCATAGAAGAACAAGATACACTGAGAGGAAGTATCATGTTCTACATGATATTGTCCGGCAAGAAAATGCACTTGTAGTTAGAACATTGCATTGGAACACAACTTTGTTGATCCATTATCAAAGGTGTCATTGATCAATAATTTTGATCATCATCTGGATAACATTGGAGTTAGGTGCAATTTGAATTGGCTATGAGGGCAAGTGGGAGCTGTTGGGATTTATATGCCCTGGCATAGCAAATTCTCATCTGGATTATAGTGACATATGTTCCTGACATATCTGAAATATTTATGATTTATATAATTGGTGAATTCAATGTATTATGTTTCGATTCACTATGAAATTGATAGTATCCATGTAATTACAAGAAATATTTATATATATGTATGTAATGGCAATCAATGCATGATATATAAATAGTAATTATAAATTGTTCATAGTCGGTAATTATGGATGGACTCATAATTAATTAAGACTTGAACTGGATCCGCGTTAGGTTGAGATATATTGCGAGAGCCGTCGTATGCAATTACTCCCTATCACCGTCATGGCATTTGACTCTTAAGCATGAGAAAAGTATAGACTCTTTTATTAATTAATAATTACTTTGATTTGTTCGGCGGATTCTTTGGGATCCTTAGACCGACAGTTTGGGTAGTTATGTAATTAATAGTTAGAGGGTTATATTTTCAATATTTGCATCATTGCTACTTGTATTTATTTTGTATTGATTATGGTTGATCACAAAGTAAATTCGAAGGCCTTCGTGTGTTTTTAGACAAAATGATTTATTATTATATTTATTTATTTAAATTATTATTTTTGTCAAACAAATGTTTTATTGTGATCGAGCCAAAAATAATCAGAGGTACCAAAATAGATATATTAATTAAGTAGTCGGATTGATGGCTTTATTTATCCGATAACTAATTATGCATAGAGGGGTCAAAGTGCAATATTGACTTAGAGGTTATTTATTATTTAATTGGAGTTTAATTAATTTCTTTTAGTGGAGTAGAAATTAATTTATGAATTAATTGAATTGGGTCCATGGACCGGGCCAATTATTAATTCATTGTAGTCAATAAAATAATAGGCCCAATGGATTCTCACTCATAGCCCAACTTGATATTGGAATCATATTAGATTTGAGACATATGAATTAGAGATGGAGAATGATTTGTTGTTTCCTTTTCTTTATTTTTATGTTGCCTATAAATATACATAGTCTATGTATATTTGGGGGGGGGGTGATTTTTAATAGAAGGAAAAATGAATAAATATTTTCTCTCTCTAGAAAATTAGGGTTTATGTTCTCATCTAATGGAGGCTCCCACAAGCCTAGTTTTCCAAGGTCATTCATGGAGGCTTATGAGTGATTCCTAAAGGCAAAACAATTACCAAGAAGATGGAGATCCATGGAAAAGGTGTCTAGCAAACGGGATCTACAATAAGTGAGAACATTCACTTTAGAGGAGAGATTTAAGGTTTACTCAAACCTTGATGTAAGTATTCAATCTTTTAATTGAATGATAGATCATATTTTATTTTTGCATAAAACTTGTCTCTATGTGATGAATCAAGATCTGTGAAAGAAAATCCCTCGAAAAGTTTTTAAAACTTGCACGTTTCCCAACACTATTTCCTGGTCAACTCTCTCAATAAAGTACGGCGGCTTGAGGAGATATAAAAGTCAGGTAAATTGCACCTAAAACCCCCTCACCAATGCTTAAATTGCATACAGCAAAAACTGCACCGTTTCATGGCACTGAGCACCCTCAAAGTCGAAATTACCAGATAACCCACCCTAGTACTTTAAATGTACTTGTCAGATCTAAACACTAAATTATCTACGTAACCGTATGTTAGTCTATATAACTTCCAAAACATATATATATATATGAAGTTATTTAAGCATGTGAATATGAATACACGATGAAATAATAGTAAATTCAGCTAAAATGAAAAACAACACAATAATTTTTAAATGAATAAACAAATAAATAAACAAATAATAATAAAATGAATAGAATAGAATGAAAGAAGGAATATGAATAAATTGAATAATTAAAGAAATTACCTAATCTTAAACTTCACAATTAACAATGAGTAGTGGGATTTATGAGACTATATTGAGTCTGCTGACACCAATATATATATATATATATAGTTGCTTAAAATACCTTTCCTCATATACGGAAGGAATATTATCTTTCCAAAAAAATTATTCCTTCCCTAATCGGGAAAGGTTCCAAGAATCCTAATACAACTTCTGATATGGTTTTATTACCAAAAAGTTGTTTTATAGAGAAATAAGAGTAATATATGAGAGAAGATAGAATCAGATAGACATTCTAAGAGATTTACAGTGTCGCCGGATGAAAATTCTCACCACAGGAATACTCAATCTAGCAACCACACATGCAAAAGACCATCTTTCATGCACTAAAAGATTTTGGAAAAGAGTTACTAGCAGATCCAGGCCATACAAGGGATGAGGGGCTAATTTAAAGAAAGAGAAAACTTGTGTAAGAAATAAAATAAAATAATTTTTTTAAAAAAATTGATTACTAAACATGTGTAAGGAAGGTGGAATCAAGTTGTTCCGTTTTGGCCTCTCTGCAGCTTTCGTCATTAACAGAATGATATCAGAAATACTAAGGTCATTAGCAGAATGATATCAGAAATACTAAGGTCTGTTACGAAATTAGATTTAATCATCTAAACCAGCACACTAATGCATTGGTAATATATAAATTTGGCAAAGCATTTTAATAAAGAATATCCAAGCAATCTTCACATGATTTATAGAACTACTGTAACAACCATACATATAAAAACTTATCAACACGACTACTCATCAATCGAGCGCTCAATAAAAAGCTAAACATTGATAAGCAATTCTTTGGTACATTTGACCAAACTTAATAATAAACAGGCAACCTCAAGAAATTGCCATACCATGTAACTAGAAATTAAGCAAGGCTACTTGGCGCAAACCAGCAAATCAAATATAAAAAATATGGTCTTAATTCTTGGCCAAAGGACTACAGATAGCACAATAGATGAGAGCTGGATTACATTACAAGGACACTTTAACCATCAAGAATTATGATGCAATGTTATTTCCAACCCTCATTTCAAGTAATATACAGTAAATTTCTTCCAAGGAAAAAGACAATAAATTTCTTATAAGAAAAGACAGTAACTTTCTTATAAGAAAAATATTTATAATACCATAAAATTTGAGAAAAAACAACAATACTATTTAATTATGTCTTACAAGCCGTGATCTCACATTTGTTACAGCAAGAGATAAAAATAGATTTTTTCATCACATAAAAATGATGAGCAAAAAAAAAAACTAAATAAATTAGATTGACCGAAAGACATCCCAAAAATTAAGTCTATACTGAACTTCCCAACACAGTTGGGACAATCCAAATTGAGGGCAGCATATCGTTATGTGAAGGATCAAGGATGTAATGCGTCCCAAAACTTCCATTCACTATGTTGAAGATACCCATGTCATGGCGCCCAGATGGGGGATAGTATATACAGTCAGTATAATCATCTGTATAGTATATTGAATTAGGTTCACATCCGGGCCATTTGGAAGCTAAAACACAAATGGAATGATTATCTCCCAAAAACATGGTGTCTCCACCCAAGTTCTTCACTTCAACTAGCATATGCAAACCCTCCTCAAATTGGTCTAAGAGCATCTTGAAAACCTTAAACCCAGAAGTTGCATGCTGTGAATCGTCTCCAATTTCTAAAATCCTTTGTACAAGAAGTAATTCCCCGGTAGATGATTCGACAAGATACATGCGTTCAGTATGAACAATTTGCGGTGCAATTTCCTTTTCCTCCACTTGCAGAGCCCCAACCCTTCTATTAACATCAATCATTAGGACTTTATCACTATCAACTGCAAAAATCCGGCCTTTATAATTTATGACATCACATAATAACATAGATCTCTCTTTATCTATGCAAGTCCACTCTTTATGTATGCAAGTCCAAGCTTTATCTCCTGCCTGAATAAATGCCAGGTTAGGATGAATACCATAGATGGCGGCAACAATATAGTCATTTGGAGAAGAAGCAGGATTAGCTGACAATATAACCTTTGTAACTTCAAAGGAAATCTCATCTATGCTTGCTGAGACCACACTATCAATTGGAGGAAGCTCTATGGTAGAGCCGGAGAACGGATTCATTATAGTTACGCTCGAGGATTTTTCTATACCAAACAGCCAACCATGTGAGGAACCACAAAGCCTCTCTTTGTAAGGTACTCGTAACTGAAAATCATATAGCTTATTATGAGTAATGTTGTATAGACTGCGTCGTTCGCCGTCATTATTATCTTTCAAAGGCACTATCAAGAATGGAACTTGTGTTGAAAACTTATTTTGAACGAATTTAAACTTGTTCTCCATTGCCACAGACTGCCATGGTTTGCAAACCGCACCAAATCGAACAAATTCAGAAAGTGAAACCAAATTGTCTAGAATCATATCCAATAAGTTCTTCGGAAGCCATGCCCAATTTGACTCCTCCAATGACCCCATCAGTCATTTTTTTATTTTTTTATTTTTTTTTATTTTTTATTTTTTTTTTTTTCTTCCTAATAGCACTGCAATGTGAACAAATCAAAGAATCTACATAATCATAATAACTTACATCGTATCTACAATACTCAATTAATTGGCAAAATTTTGAATGGAATTTATAATCTTAAACTAAATAATTCACCCAAAAAGCAAAAACAAAAAAACAGAAACTTGTTATAAACTTATGATCGAGTATGAAGTTATTGGTGTAATCTTTTCATCATAAGGGTAACAAACTATTCGATAAAATTAATTTTCAATATTAAAATCTAATTTATACAGTACCAAATCCAAATCCAAAATCCCATATATACTGTGAAATATGAACAATCAAAACAACTTACCTCAAAGGCTGAAATAATCTTAAACTCCGCAATTGGCGATGCAAACCAATAATCTTAAGTAAAACTGATCAATAAAGTACGACGGCTTAGATTCTTAGGGATAGAGATTGGAGGAGATATAAAAGTCTGGGAAAATTGCACTTAAAACCCCCTCACCAATGCTTAATTGCACTTAACACCCCCTCACCAATGGTCAAATTGCATACAGCATCCTTGTCGTTTCAAAAACTGCACCGTTTCATAGCACTGAGCACCCTCAAAGTCCATTTAAGGTATAAAAGTCAGGGTAAATTGCACTTAGGGATAGAGATTGGAGGAGATATAAAAGTCTGGGAAAATTGCACTTAAAACCCCCTCACCAATGCTTAATTGCACTTAACACCCCCTCACCAATGGTCAAATTGCATACAGCATCCTTGTCGTTTCAAAAACTGCACCGTTTCATAGCACTGAGCACCCTCAAAGTCCATTTAAGGTATAAAAGTCAGGGTAAATTGCACTAATGCTTAAATTGCAGACAGCATCCACGATAAGTTATACGGAGTATATTAGTATATGTAACTTCCGGAATATATCTATATATATATATATATATATATATATAAAAGTAGAGAACAGTACATCAATCTCTTGAAAAGGAGATATATACATGAATTTATTTAAGCATGTAATCAAATAATATAAAAACAGAATAATCTTTAACGGAATAAACAAATAATAATAAAACGAATAGAAAAAAATGAAAGAAGGAATATGAATAATTAAAAGAACTTACCTAAACTTAAACTTCACAATTAACGATCAGTATAGTGGGATTTTTGACCAATATATATATATATATATATATATATATATAATTACTTATAATTCCTTTCCTTTATCGTTACCTTCCCAAAAAAATATATATATATACCTTCCCTAATCAGGAAAGGTTCCAAGAATCCTAATACAAGGAGGGTTTTATTTCCAAAAAAAATTGTTTTATAGGGATAGAATATAGATATTATATTAAGGATGATAAATTGCAAAAAAAACATAAAAAAAATATATATAAACAATAATAAAAATTCTGATAACTTCCTCAACTAAAATGGAGAGAAATTTTAGTTGAAGAGTGATACTTAGCCGGATTAGTTAGGAGTGAATTCCTTCCGTGTACAAGTTTTGAATTACTTAACTGGATTAGTTATGTTTACTAAACATAACTAGTATGTAGCCCTTATATTTTGTTTACATAACCAATTATTGATTGTTGATTTAAGAATTCACTTTTAAGTAATTGATCTAAAAATTATTTTTCATTTTAGTTGGGGCCGAATTATATATTGAAAAAATATAATTTATAAAATAAGAAAAAACCTAAATAAGTGGTGATGAAAAGTAATAAGAAAAAGAGAGAGAGAGAGAGAGAGAAAAAAAAAAAAAAAAAGACGAAGCAATAAATTACTGATAAAAAGAAGTTAAAAAAATATTTTTCAAGAGTTGTTTAAATTTTTAAAATTATTCAACAATTGTTTCAATTTTTTTAGAATTCAACTTTCAAAAAAAAAAAAAATAAATAAATAAATAAATTGATAACTTTGATTCCATTTTGAGAAAAATAGTCATTATAACCTTGATATAAGATTAAGAGAAAAAAAATATAAAAGTTTAAATAAACAAATTTTTACAAACTTAAAGAAACACATTAGCTTTATCAACTTGTATATGTTGTGACTGTAGAATTTTACATCTTGAAAGTGACAAACTAAAAATAATTCTAGATATTTATTTTGTAAACATTATTTTAAGAAAAATGATTGACAATATATTTTTATTAAATATAAAACATTAGAGTAACAAGATTTGGATTTTGAAAAATAAGCTAAAATGATCAAAATTGATAATTTTAATGACTTTTGAGAGAATATAGTTACTTTTATTTCTAAACTCATAATTTGGGACAAAAGTTAAGTTGACCACGATGAAGGAAAATGAATTAGTAATATAAAATATTTTAACCAAATGCATGCCATTATATTTCACTTTTTTTATTTTTTCCTTCTCCTACTTCTTTTTTATTTTTGCCATAAATGGATGAAATAGCAACAATAGTATTTCCAATTTTTAAATATGTAAATCTCCAATTAAACTCATGACTAAACAAAAGAAGATTTTCTAAAAATGATTTTAAGTTGAAAGGGTATTGCAAATTTAGTTAAAATAATGTTTTTAAAAAATTTGAAATTACATTTGTGATTACTTTTCATGATTTTTTACTTAAAAGTACTGAAACCCTTTTAGAAAGGTGATTTGGAAAAACATACAAAAAGTAGATTTAGTCAGAATAGCGACATTGTCAATGTCAACTTTAACCAGTTTTTAGAAGGACTTTACCTTATAATTAATGTGTGTGTGTGTGTTTATTTTTGGCAATATATATATATATATATATATATTTTTCAAACAATGTATATAAGTATAAAATTGTGGCTCCACATTTTTAATGCATTGTAAGTACATGCATTTGGATTGTAATTTGGAAGATAATTTGAACAAAGGTAATGATTGGCGCCCAAAACTAAAGTGACGAAGGAACCTAATACGATTAGTACGTGTGACTGCCATAGTCGACATCATTCCTTATAAATAAGGATAATGTTGTATTTTATGGATACACTTGAATGAAAAGAATTGAATTATAATAGATTTATCTTTTTTTCTTGTTTGCAGTTCTCTTTCGCCCTAGATTATATTCTTTATTATATTTATAACACATTGTCAGCCCAAGCTCTAATCATCTGAGACTTGAAAAAGAAGCTATCTTTCCTTCTTTCTATCTCAACTCTATATATCTATCTTGTGATATTAGTTTTGATAGATTGTTAGATTTACTTACTTTATTGAAAAATATTATATTTCTCACTCCAAAGGGTAAGAAATTTATATATTTATTTATTATTGTTCATTAATTAATTTGTCCACTTATGTAATATATGTGCTCACAATATGATCGGTTTTACCATATTTATTATTTAATGGTCGATTTTACCGCATTTATTATTTAATAATTTATGATCGGTTTTACCACATTTATTATATAATGGTCGGTTTTACCGCCTTTATTATTTAAATTAATGATCGGTTTTACCGCTTTTATTATTGAATGGTCGGTTTAACTGCCTTTATCATTTAATGATTTAATAGCCGGTTTTACCGTCTTTATTGCTTAAATTATAATAATTCATATTATCTTGTTATTTCACTTAATGCCATTTTATTATTAAGATATACGCTTATTTTTATACTATGCTAAAATTATGCTAAAATTATGTTCTTATATTGTTATTACATCTATTTATTCTGAAAATGTCAAACTTGACAAAGCTGGAATCCGTGGCCCTAGATATTTTCGATAAAAATTATTTATCTTGGATTTTAGATGCTCAAATCCATTTAAATATCATGGGTCTTGGAATTACAATTCAAGAAGAAAATGATGCATCGTCACAAGATAAGACAAAGACCATGATTTTTCTTCGTCGCCATATTAGTGAGGAGCTAAAAACTAAATACCTCAGTGAAAGAGATCCACTGAATTTGTGAAAAAATTTAAAAGAAATATATGATCATCAGAAAATTGTTATCCTCCCAAAAGCTCGAGCTGATTGGCAGGAACTGCGATTGCAAGATTTCAAAACCGTGGCTGAATACAACTCTGTTCTATTTAAAATTAGCTCTATGCTAAAATTATGTGATAATACTGTCACCAATATATATATATATGTATGTGATTGCTTACCATTCCTAAATATTCCTTCCCTAATCAGGAAAGGTTCCAAGAATCCTAATACAAGAAGGGATAGGGCTTTATTTCCAAAAAGTTGTTTTATAGGGATAGATATTATAATAAGCTAGGATGAAAAATTGCAAAAAAAAAAAAGAAAAAGAAAAAGAAAAAGAACCATAAGAAATAGTATATATAAACAATAATAACAATTACTGATAACTTCCTCACCTAAAAGGGACGAGCGAGAAATTTTAGTTGAGGAGTGATACTTATTAGTTCGATTAGTTAGAGTGAATTTCTTCGTGTACAAGTTTTGAATTACTTAGCCGGATTAGTTATGTTTACTAAACATAATTAGTATGTAGCGGTCTCGGTCCCTTATATTTTACTTAGATGACCAACTACTATTGTTGATCTAAGAATTCACTTTAAGTAATTGATCTAAAAATTATTTTTCATTTTAGTTTTTTTTTTGGGGGGGATGAAACCTAAATAAGCAGTGATGAAAAGTAATAAGAAAAAGAGAGGGAAAAAAAAAAAAAAAGGAAGCAATAAATTACTGATAAAAAGAATTTAAAAAATATATTTTTCAACAATTGTTTCAATTTTTAAAATTATTCAACAATTGTTTCAATTTTTTAAGAATTCAACTTTCAAAAAAAAAAAAAAAAAAAAAAAAAAAAATTTGATAACTTTGATTCCATTTTGAGAAAAATATGTCATTATAACCTTGATATAAGATTAAGAGAAAAAATATAAAAGTTTAAATAAACAAATTTTTACAAACTTAAAGAAACACATTAGCTTTATTAACTTATATATGTTGTGAATATAGAATTTTTCAT